CGGGCTCTATTTCCATTTCAGCCGCTAAGTGAATGCCAGCTATAACTCATCAAACTGACCTGCTCCTCCAAGGGTTCTGTTCCCCGTTTCCTGGGCTCCAGGCAGAGCAGCTCTTGAAAACCTTCATTGGAGGTTTAGCTTCCTGGCAATGGCAATGTGTCTGGGACACACAAACACGAGTCTGTTCAGGTCACACGTGATCTTCCAGGTTGTGTTGGAAAGCATGGAATGGCCCCTGGTGAGGGCAGCCACTAAATGCCTACTGGGCCACGAGTCTATCCTACAGTGGGTCTCACCAGAGCCCTTGTTGTCAGGTACAAACTATGCCCTGGTGGCACTCAGCAAGTGCTACATTACTCATTCCCAGGAGGGAGACGGCTCTTTTGCTCTCAGCCAAGTCTTCCGTACACCAGCATGCCCATCCCCCCAAACACCAGTGGCCTTGCGACCCAGCCAGAACCCACTGCTCGGCCTTGCGTCCAGCCGTCCCTCCGCTTCTGATCTTTTAGCAAGTGCGTCCCTGAAATCCATTTCTCCCCATGAAAGTTCTCATTGATTTTCCACCCACTGCAAGATCCATAAAAGAGAATGGGAATGAGATTGGAGGTCAGCAAAGGCCAGTCCCCCGCAGCTGGCACAGACGGCCACGCAGAGCATTGGTGCCTGCTTCGTGTCCCTCGGTGGTGAAGAAATGCTGCTGACCAGATACAAAAATAAATAAGTAAACAAAATAAGATTAAAATCTGGATATTTTAGCTCTCTCCCTACTTTCTCCCCGTGGGAATTTTAGATCCGAGTGAAACCAGAGAAGGAGAAGGTTCTCTTTTAATAAAATTAGAACACCATTTAAATAAGATGTGAAAAAGAGCAACAGAATTTTGTGGTGTTTTACTGTCTTTGAGAGCTTGTTTCCAGGACCCCCAACAGAGACCCCAAACCCATGAGTACCCTTATACAGCACAGCGTAATATCTGCACGGAACCCCACATATCCTCCATGGGCTTTAACTGATCTCTGGATTGCAAAATGCCTGGGCCATGCAGGTGTTATGTAAGTAGTTATTCTATATTATCTATGCAATAATGGCAAGGGGAAAGCCACAGGTGCTCAGTATAGGTATGATGCTTTTCCTTAATATTTGCAATCCTTGGTTGAAATCTGTCATTGCGGAATCTGCACAAAAAGAGGCCAACTGCCAAAGGCAGGACTGGAATTCTACACTGAAGATGAAGACTTGGGTGTCAGTTTTCCATTACTGGGACAAGCACCTGGGACTGCGAAGGAGGGAAGGTTATTTTGACTCACGTTCTCAGAGTCCACGGCCACCTAGCCCATTGCCCTTGGGCTCCTGAGGAAGCAGCACGCCACTGTGGAAGGCTGTGGCAGAAGGAGATTCCCAGGCTATGGCAGCCAGGAGACAAAAGAGTGGGGAGAAGGGGAGGGTCTGGAGTCCCAGAGTCCCCGATAACCTCGCTTCCTACCACTAGGCCTCACCTCTTAAAGGTTCTACCACCTAAACCTACAACAAGGTGGGGTGTCCTTGGGCTGCCTTAAAGACCCAGCTATAGCCACTGGAGAATGTGTAGAAGACAACACAGGAAGGCAAGGGGAGGGCGGCGGAGGAGGAAGCTGAGAAGCTCAGTGCGGGGAGGCTCAGAGCCAACAAAAGAAGAGCTGGTGATGGGGAAAAGATGGCGGAAAAGGATTTACTTTTGCCCTTGGTTTTGCACTGGCTTTTGCTGCTGCTGTTTTTCTCTTAAGATGTCAGCAAAGATTCACATTTCATATTCAACTACTCCCAGTGGCTGATTGGGTTTCGTATGACTGTTGGTCTATCGGAACAGAATGGCAGGGGCTCCGTATTTACACAACTGCAGCAGACGAGGTCAGACACACCCTCCAATGTCCTTGTTGCTGCACTGACAATTGATTAACTCAAATGAACACTGATCCTAGTGATTGATTAACTAAGATTAGAACTCTTTGTACCAGTGAAAGCAGCTCACCACTGAGAATAAAAACCATTCCCTGTTCAGATGACCAAGACTTTCTCTTGGCAGAACAATACCTCTGTAAATCATCCCTCCACAACTTTTTACCTCTTCCTATAAAAGTCTTAGGCAAAACTGCCCTCCTGTGATGTGGGTCTTCAGAGCTGGGGTGCTGTTCTCACTGCAGGAGCCTAAATAAAGCCCTTCCCCTTTCTCACCCAGCTTTCATCTTTGACGCAGAGCTCATGTATCTTGAATGCAACAACACCCTTGCCATCCTTTATTCATTTCTCCAGCTGCTTCTTCCAATCACTACCCAGCTCCCCTTTGGCCTGCAGTCCCATGGGATCGCTGTGCTCATGCCACAGTGGATACCTTGGTGTGACAAGGACACATCAACTAAACCCTCACCCAAAGTCTCCTCTAGGACAAACTCTTAACTGTGATCCCCGGTAAAAATCAAAAGAACATTAAACGCTGCCACATACAACGGCCCAGGGTAAACATTCCCATTCCAAAAGGGAGACATAGGGGGACAGAAAGGAATAGACCAGAGTGAGGTAGAAACCCAGCAGGGCAAATATTAAATCCTGTAGTTTCATGTCCGACACTGGGGCAAGTGATGGTGGCATTATGCAAACTCCCAAAGGCTTGCATGGCCTGCCCTATGGTCTTGTTGTCCATAGCCCTCCTGGCCTCTTTCCTGGGGTATCTTCACTCACTGTCTGGCACTTTCCTTGTATGTTCCACATTTCTAGCTCCTCTAAGTCCCTGGGTATCCACGGTACTTTTGGTTTCACTCTCACTGCTTCATGCACTGCCCTTGCCAGGGCATGTTGCCTCGATTCTCAGGGCTTCTTTCAAAATCTTGATGGAATCCTCCATGACCCAATAACTCTTGCATTCTGCATGCTTGTAAAACCAGCACCATGTGGATGATACCAAGGTCTGCTGCCAGTTCAAGCAGTAGCCTGGCCATCTTGAATCATGGCTGCAGAAGCCTCCATGTGCCTGGATGACTGAGAACTAGAAACAGAATCCCAGGGAACAAATCCCTCAGGTGGCCTTTCTTACACTGGGTGCCCTGTAGCTCTATTCTCAAATGAAAGCTTTATAGCCTTGTACCCTTGAGTGGTTAATAGATGAGGTCTTGAGGATTTGAGAAACCCCCTAGGTATCATTCCTACTGTTCTGATGCAAAGTACCTGACTTCTTTTTCATGTTAATATTTTCTAGAACCATGCTGCCCTGAGCTAAAACTATACAAACCCCAATTTTACAGATGCTTCCTTTCTGGCCACGAGCAAAAATTTTTGTATTACTGAGTTCTACTTTTTGTCCTGCTTCCCATAGTGGATATGGCTAGAAGTACCCATGTCATAGCCTCAATATTGGGGTGCCTTGAAATTTCCTTCATCAGATTAATTAACCCCTGTCTTTAGTCTCACTCTCCCGCAAAGTCTCAGGACATTAGCAAATGAAGGCAAATGGAGTTCTTATTCCGAATCAAAACCTGCTGAGCCTGGCCTTTCTGTCTGAAACTCTAATAGTATTCTGGTCTTTTGTGTTCTTACCAGAATCTCCCGTCAAGCTCAGCTTACAGGGTTCTAGGACTTCTCTAGCCAGTATCTCCAAACTTTCCCTGATTTCTCCTGCAAACCAGCTCCAAAGGCTTCTAAACCACATGGTCATGTATGTAGTCCAAACAATAGCCCTACTTCTGTACTACCAAACTTTCAGTCAATTTCTGTCAGCTCTAAAACACAATGCCTGACACCCACAACATAAAGGAGAGGTTTATTTTGGTTTATGGTCATAGTCTCTGACTCCAGGCAGGAAGGGCAGGGCAGAAGGGTGCGCTCTGGAGGAAAGCTGCATGGCAGCTGGGAACCAGAGAGCAAAGGGAGGAGCCAGCGAGGAAGACAGAACTTTCCAGGCCCCCTCCAACTGACCCACCTCTTCTGATAAGACCTCACCTCCTGTCAGCAAGTCAGCTGAGGTGTGCCCCCATCACCAAGTCATCTTCCAAGAGCCCCACCGCTGAACACATGAGGTCTTGAGGGACACTCTAGATCTAAATAATAGCACATGACAGTCTCGAGTGAATAACTGGAAGTGCTGCGAGCATTAGATGTTTTATACAGTGATCGTCTCTGAGCAGAGTACATTTTCATCTCAAGGTGTTGCACAGAGACAGCTGGACACTGAAGGTTCTTTCTCTGAGGCTTATCTATGGCACGGATGGAACAGTGCAGACAAGACATCCAAGGAAGCTCAGGCTCCGGCCCTTTGTTCTCATTATCTGTGTCTCATGGGGAATGCCCCACAAAAGAGTCAGAGCTCATAAACACTGACTGAAGCACCAGGGTCCAACAGGGAGAACAGAGCTGAGTATACGGCTGCACTTCTGTAAAATGACGGAAGTAGGATGCCTCACCTTCAAAATGGAAAATTAGTACCCTAGGCTGATAAATATGTAAAGTATTGTTTAAAAGACACCTCTGATCTTCTACAAGTCAAACTCCCAGAGTTTTAAATAATAACATAAAAACTCCAGAGAGAAATATAAATGGATAAAATGCAGTTTTACATAATGTAAACCAATTAAAACTCAAGAAATTAATAAATTCCAAAACTTTTGTAGAGTAACACTTTATTTTTTTTTAGATGTACAAAATGTTTCCTTACAAGTGGCATACATTTTCAGAAAGTCTATATTCAGGGATATATGGTTTGAATGCTAATTATTTTAACATGAAAAGTAATTACATGAAGAAAAACTATCTTTAGCCTCAAGAGAAGTGACAAAGAGCAAGCTATTTTGAGTGAATTTTTGTCTTTTCCTACATAGAATAGCAAAGAATGTTTTTTTAAAATATATGTGGTTTCCAGTAAGGGAATTTTGGGTAAATTACCTTGTATTTCCCATACTTATGTCTTAAGGAGAAGAGCTACAAAGGACTCCATGATTTTCAAGTACCAGTTTGGCTCCAACTGTAGCATCCTGGGGTGAGTACCTTACTTCTCCACAGAGTGGTCTGGGGTAGTTTTCTGACTGATGTCGATGATGGCGTAAGTTGCCCTTCATCGTCACACGGTGACTGTTTACTAATTCCATCCCATCACAACATGAGCGACAAGGAGATAACACATCCCAACCGCGCAGGACACAATCATCATTGGGAACCCCAACCTGCAAGACAAAGAGATGGGTTATGAGCTCTGGTGTCTGGTGAGAATTGTGGGATGTTTATTACATTGCACTACGGTAAAGATCTTCATACAGTCATAAACTCCACTACCTTATTTTTAGAAATAAAAATTTAGTTATAGCTTAGATTGTGATGATGGACACTTCTACTAGATATATCCCACTGGGTACAATTTATTTGAGACCCACTTAATTTATTTTCGAATATTTAATGGTTGTCTACAGCACTGACACCTTCCCCAAATTCCCGTTCCCATCACATGTTCCACTGGTAAGCTGAGACATGGGAGACTCCGTGGATAGCAGGCCCCAAAAGAAAACAGGCTCTAATAAAAGCCTGCTTTCTCAGGTGAAGCCCCAAGGGAGGAGTAGCACTGATAGACAGAAATATTTTGGATAATAACTGCATAGCTCCAGATAATTATCACAAGAAAAAAATGTAAAAGCTATGTTGTACCCCAGCCTGGGCAAAGACCAAATGAGAAGCCAGAAGTCCCATCTTCCCCAAGGGGTATGTGGAGAGCACAAGGGAGAGAATCAGCTATCTTCAAGGTAGAACAATAAATAAAAAATATCCATCTGAACAACAGAGAAAGAATAGATTTGGGGGTGGGAAGAACAAACCTTCAGGGACCTGGGACGTGTACAAAAGATCCAACATGTGTGTCACTACAGCCAAATGGGATGAAAAAGAGGAAAGAGATGGGAAATGGCTCCAACGATGATGGCAGAAAGCTAGGAAAAGTCATAAACCTGAAAACATAATAAGAAGCTGAACAAACCCTAGGAGTGACCCCCAGAAATCTATGCCAAGGCAAAATATAATCAAACTCCTAAACAACAAAGAAAAATAAATGCCTTGAAAGGAAGGAGAAAAAGTTTGACAACTTGCCTGTAGATAAAATAACAACTTTCTCCTCAGAAACCATGGAGGCCAGCAGGAAGTAGCACATTCTCCAATTGCTGAATGATCAGAGCTATCAACCCTGATTTTTACATCCATCAAAAATAAGCTTCAGGAGTGAAAAGAAATCAAGTCATTCTCTCATAAAGAAAAACCAAAAGGGTGGCCAACTTACTCTAAAAATACTGAAAGGTCTTCAACTACAGAGGAAATGATACAAGGAGGAATCTTGGGGCACGAGGAAGGAAGAAGAAAAGAACAACTCAAAATACAGTTAAATACAATAAAAGGTCTTTCTCCACTTGTTTTAAAATTATGCTTGATACATAGAGCACAAGTTGGTTCAAATCAGCTAGAAAAGACGACTTTTGAAAGCTTAGCTACAAAGAAATGATCAATGTTTAAGGTGATGAATGGGCCGGTTACCCTAATGTGGTCATTACACAATGTCCACATGTACTGAGACAACATAGCCTGCCCCAATCATACGTGCAATTTCAATGTGTCAACTGAAATAAAATAAAAACATTCTCACTTGCCTGATGCTATTCTCAAGGGATAGATAGGAAAACTTAGGACAATTACAGTGTAAATGAGTGAGCACTAAGGGACCTAGAGGGAAAAAGGTCTCCACACTCCCCTAGAACTGGTGAAATCCCCGTTCCCTATGCTAAGGTATGCGTGCATAATGTGGAACCTAGAGCAACCACTGATATGTCTATACCAAGAGATGCATTGGTAGACACTGAAGATACACCATAGTGAAATTCTAGGAAGCCACAGAAAACCAGGAAAAAGAAATAGAAAAACTAAATGAGAGAATAGTTACAAAATAGTACATATAAACCTTAACAAATCAATAATTACATCAAATATGAAAGGTCTAAATATGCCAATTAAAAACAAGATTACAGAGAGCATTGAAAAACAAACAGAAAACCTCTATGGCCAATTGTGTTCTATCGACAAGAAACTCTCTTTGACTATAATAGTATAAGATGACTGAAAATGATAAGACATTTATCAAAAGGGCAGGTGTGGCCATAAAGTATATTTCAGAAGAAAGACTGCATCAGGGCAAAGAAATTTATATAAAAAAAAGTAAAAGCAAACAAAAATTCCCTGAAACTAATCAGCAAATAGTGATTTCAATAAGGATCACAATGTAGGATCAGCATTCAGACTTCAATCTTTTTCACATACTACCACTGAACACATGAAAGTACCAGTTATAATCACTCCAAATAAAATACTTAAGCATCAACTTAAATCCTGCACAGGTTCTGCATTCTGTAAGTAACGAAATAGTAATGAATGAAACCAGAGAAGACCTAGGTAAATGCAGTGACGAAATATTCATGAATGGATCGTGTGTATCAGAGATACACACAGCTGGGGTCTATGAATGTAAAATGTGCTTTTCCAATACAAGGAGAATTCGCCTAGGTAACTGGCCCCCTTTATATAGGCCGGGAGCCACCAAACTCTGCTCCCAGGCCCCTGATCTCCTGTTGTAACTAGGATTCCTTGGGACCACAGCCACCCGCACCGGTTCTCTCCCTGTCCTGGCTGTGCCACAGCTAGCTCGGCAGAGCAGAGCGCAGACTATGCCCTTACAGAAACCACTGTGCAGCAAGCCTCCGAAGTGGAAGGGATTTGCCGGCGTGAAGTCACCCACGCCGAAGGCAAGGCCCACCTCGCCGCGGCAACGCACGGCACACCACCTCCACATGTTAAACTTTCAATGTGCCTCACTTTTAAGAGTAAGAAGGCGACAGGCGAGGTTACATTTAATCACTTTTTATTTAATAAAACATATCCAAAATATTATTTTGCCACATAATCAACATAAAATGTTAGTGGAATACTTCACATTCTTTTTAAAATTCCTAATCTTCAAAATCCAGCACGGAGCTTCTGTCCACAGCATGCCTCGGTTGGGCTTTTTGCATTTCAAGGCTCAGCAGTCCCAGCGGCTGGGGGTCCCCCACCAAATGCACCCAGCAGCACAGCTCCAGGAGGGCTGGTCTCTGGCTGAAAGCCTTTGCACGGGCAGGCTGGCACCTTCCAGCTGTCACGGGGTGGATGGAACTTCCAGAGCGGAGCTCCGACACAGAGTGTGGTCTGAGACAGCAAGCTTGGGACCACGCTCAGCCTCAGAGTCTCTGCACGCCGATACATCTCTGCCAGCCAGGAAGCTCCCCAGGGTGGCTTTCTCCATATGCACTTTGAAAATCATGGAAGAAAATTCCTCTAACATTAGTTAGATGGAGTAAAGAAACGTGATGGAGTTGTTTATTTGCCAGGCAAGGGCAACGGCGTTAGCAGTGGCTGCCCACCTTAGCCACACAGGCATGAGGCCAGACCTGCAGCAGTGCCTTGCAGAAAACTAAGAAGGCCAGAGACTCCTTGAAAGCCCAGTGGGCCCCCTGCTTTCTCCCCAGGGAGTGAGGCCGCTTCATCGGTGTTTCAATGCTTTGTTCAGTGCCCAGCCTAGAACGGGAAGGAGATTTACTGAAGGGAGGAAGTAATGACTTCCTGTCCCCGCCAGCAGGACTCCAAGCACACAGGACACTGATGCACCAAGCTCACCCGGGGCCTTCTGTTTCCCAGCAGATGCATTTGTCTTGCTCTCCAACGCTCTCAGAGAAAGCGATGGCTTTACCAAAAGGCTCAGGAAAAGAGAATTTGCTCAACATCTAGCACCACATTATGCTTTCAATTCTCTCTGGGATTCCTTTCAATCCATTCTGCCTCTAACATCACACAGTCTTACAGAAGACAAAAACACTTGAATGTCAAAGCTGAAATCAAGATGCAACATGTCAGGTGGGTGCCCAGACAGTCTCTGTATTGCACGTACTCGAAATTAAAAATATGCGTGAACTGACGCTCAGGGCTCCCCGGGACCAAGGCTTCCAGATTGCTGGGAAATGCACTGCCCCAGGACCGTGCCTGAAGCATTTTAACAGAGCTCAGCACGCTGGACAGAGACTTGCTTTTCAACAAGAACTGTTTGCTGATGAAGTCTCCTGCTTGAATTTTACACTGAAACCATTCTTCCTATTTATTTTTCCTTTCCAAAAGGCTAAATTATAACGGAACATCACTGCAGTCTTTTGTCAAAAGGACCTATTTCACTGTTGTCTTTCTGCAAAGGTAATGCCTGTTTCTTTTCTTCTTTCTGTTTTTGTCTGTTTTGTTTCCTTTTCTTTTTGGGTGTGCGAGAGACCTCAGATCTCACCCATGCTAGGCGAATGCTCTATCACCAGGATACACCCTCATTCCTCCAGGTACCTGACTGTGAGCAGAGGCAGAAAGAGCTTCAGCTCTTGCAGGCCACGGAGGCTGATCAAGGTGACACAAGGTGCCCCTTTCCATAGCCAGTGAGTCCCTTGAGAATTGCACTCTTCAGGCCCTCAGCTGCCCTTGGGTTCCTCTGGGCCTCACAGAGGGGTCACCCTCACATCCTCACATTTGAAGGGCCCAGACCTCACTTCCTGGGGCTTCCAGATGACCATTATCTAAGCCTCTTCTTGAGGAACAACTGGAGGACCCTCCTGCCTCCTGGACATGCAGCCAGTCACAAGGAAGGGGAACCCACTGGGCAGGAGGGGAGGGCAGCCTGTGGGGCCGTAGAAGACAGGGCACATGGGGGGTTCACAGCATCTGCAGTGTCCCGCCGATCAGACTGCTGTAGGGACACCTGACATAGCAGCGTGTACAGGTAAGAAAGGACCTGGGAGGATGACAGAGAAGCAATCACAGCATCATGGCAAGGAACAGGGCATCAAAGTGAAGAGGCAAGGCCCAGAAAGGAAAAGGCCCCCAGGGGAGAGACCCTGGTCATGCTTTTGTTCTATGTGAAGAGACTCCAAGTTGGCAGGGCCATTTTCATACACTCAACCTTATGAAATGATCTATCATGTCTAGCCAACAAAAGAGAAAGAAACTGAGATTATTGACTGCCTTGGTCTTTCCCTTTCTGAGGAAATCGCACATGGGCTGTGCCCACTCCCTCTGAGGGCCCCTCTGTGTCCAGTCTCTTGAGTGTGGGTGTTTTCCAGCCATCTTCTTG